CCCCCCCCCCCCAACACCAAAAGAAACCCAAAAAAAAAAAAATTAACCCCCCCCCCCCCCCCCCCCTCCCTCCCCATCGACCGCGGTCTCCACATACGCCATATGGCATGCTGTCGGGCACGAGCATGTTAACGATCGATCCAGCCAACACCCGTCTAAGGTTTTCATGTACTCCTGGGTGTCCTCCTCCTCACAGCGAGAACAACCCCTCGCTTTCGGGAAACAGGCAAAAGTGCCTCAAGTGCTTGCGCGTGCTTCGCTTGGGCGGCAAAATACCAAGCATCCGTCCGTCCACAAACCCCTCCGTCTAACCATCTGGCCAAAGCGAGTTGAGCACGGCGGACGGCATCGCCGGCTCACAACGCGGGGGGGCGTATCGCAAGCTGAAACCTCAATCATCATCATGCGCGATAAAAAGGCGCGTCACCAAAACACTCGTCCCCCCCAAAAAAAAAATCAAAACGAGCACCCTTGTAGGTCTGACATGGCATGCAGTCGTACAAGATACATTACGGCTTGTCATTTTTCCAGGTCAGGAAGGGCTTCCGTTTCCGTACCTCTTTTCTTCTGGAGCCTTCCCGCGAAACACTGGGCCACACAACAAAAATCACTCAAGTTCCTTCAGAAAGCCAAGGCATTTTTCGTCCCTCTCCCCTCCTTCCAACGGCTTCCTTCACAACGCGAGACAGTTGTTTTTGCTTCTGGCGAACCCCCCCCCCCGCCTAAAAAACACGCGGTTTTTTTCGTAGTGAAGTATGCTTCCGCGCGTCGTCGTTTTTGCCAAGGGCTTCCACAAGTCTAGAAGCTGATGTAGTCGTCCTTGCCGTAGCCAATCTTGGCCAGGTTTGGGATGCAGGCGAACTTGATCATGGCCGGCGGTCCGCACATGAAGGCGATCGTCTCCGGCGACGCCTCGGGGAGGTGCGCCTCGCACATTTCCTTCGAGATGAAGCCCTGTGATTGGTCGGGTTGGTTGGTTCCGTTTTTCGCCCGAACCGACGAGAAACACGCCGCAGCAAGCGCAAAGGACGGGGAGTGACTTTTAGAGGAGGGGACAAGGGGGGACCCGCTGAGTCTTGGTCTTCATGTCTCATTTCTACATTTTGAGAGAGAACATGCTCGCCCATGCAACAAATATGTCAGGACACTGCGACACTACACCGTCGCTGGTTGTGTTGCAGAAAAATGGACCTTTGAAAATCGGCTCAGGGTGCATGGGGTACCTAAAACTTCATGATGCATCCTACGGTATGTAGGTTAGATACTGCGACACCGCAGGCGAAACGAAGACCGAGGTTGGTTGCGGTGTCACCCTCATCACCATGAATCCTCCCCATCATCCATTACTCGATCACTCGTCATCACCTTGTCGTACTTCCAGTCGCCGCTGGGCCTGTCGATCGTGTACCACAGCTTGAACCTGTCCGGGTTCGCCTTGGCCAACGCGTCCAGCTGCAACGACAGAAGAAGAAAAATCACAACACAAGAAGGAAGATGGTATCGATTCGATGAAGAGTGGCACTCGAGACCCACCCATCACAGAGATCGACACGCAATCACCGTGATGCTGTTCTACCGGCCACTCGGCACTTACGGAGTAGTTGCCTTCTACTCTTTGAGTGAACAGCAGCATGTCGGCTTGAACAACAGCAGCATGAAAAAAGAGGGCACCTCATCGGAAGCCATTGAACAGCGTGTCGGCTTCGACAACAGGACGAAACACAGCTGGCAACGCCTCGTGAAAACACCACTAGGCTTCCGATTTGCCGGAAACCAAGACAAGTGCCGAGGTGCCACATCTAATCGTCCGGTCGCCGACCTACGGAGCCCCCCCCCCCCCGCCTTAACCCTCCTTACCTCGTCCCTGAGAAGGATGTCCTCTTCCGTCTGGTTGGCGTAGATCAGGCTGCACAACGTCGTGTCCGCGGGGTCGCTGAGCACCGCCTTGATGACTTGGTACATCGGGGTGATTCCGGTCCCCCCCGCGAGCATGGCGAGCTTGTTGGCGTTCCTGGGCTTGCCCTTGATGAGGAATTGCCCGGGCTCGAGGTACACGATCTCCCCCACGGGACCCTTGATGTCGATCGTGTCGCCGATGTCGAGGGCGTCCAGCATCTGCGACATCTTCCCGCCCTTGGGGAACCTGTCGTTCGGGGTGTACACCTGTAGGGGGGGGCGGGAGCATGTGCCATATTTTAGGGGGGAGGAGAGGATTAACTACAACACGGCAAGTGGTTGACGTTGACTTTCGTACGTTGAAGGGGAGGAGGGGGCGTACTCTTCTGTTTTGCATGCCTTAGCGGTTAGACCATTGAGAAGAGAGGAGGGAGTGGGCCTAAAGATGTTCGCCGGAAGGTTATTGCGAGAGGGGGATCACAGCGGTAAATAAATCGAGCGGCAAGGGGCCTATGCGGCTTAGGGAGCGGCATCCCCCCCAAGAGCAAACCCTTGCTTGCTGGGGGCACGGCTGCTCATCACCCAGACAGGGTAATGGAGGCCATTGGCACGTCTGCCATAGGCAACAGCAACAAGGGGATGCCCCGCCCACCCCTTAAATGACGAGTTTGTAAGGATGGAGGCTTGGGGCCAATCAACACGACGACACACCTTGATGACGAGGTCCACGTAGCCGGAAACCTCGTCCCCGGTAACCGGGGTGTACGGCCGCATGACGAACTCCCCGTTCCACTTCCCGGACACGAAGAAGTGCTTGCCGATGGGAAGGCCGAGCTTGTGGTCCTTCGTGGGGAGCTCGAAGCGGAAGCGGCGGGAGTCGTGCGAAAGAACCTCCTTCTCGATGAGGGGCACCGCCAGCTTCTGTCGGGTGTTGAGGGCAACCAGCTGCTCCTCCTCGACGATCTTCTGCTCGGGCAGGGTAGGGGTAGGGGGGGGGGCTTAGAATCAGGTTTTTAGATCTTCTTGTTGAGCTTGCAGGAATGCCTATGCGAATCCATCTATTGCTAAACTGCATAGAAAAACATGACGAGGAGATGTAAATCTGAGAAAGGGACGCAAGATGGCGTAGAACGCAGGCATGAACAAGTACACACAGAGCCACGGGTGTAGTGTAGTGTCGTGTAGTGTAGGTGGCCGGGAACGGGGACACGCCACAGAAGCGCACAAGTCCGGGATATGGACCACGTTTATCGCTACAAAAAACGTATTTTTTGGCTTCGAGCAAACAAGAGGACGCCAGTTGCCAGCGAGACTACAGACACGAGAGGACACCATCCACCATCATCATCATCGTCATCACGACCGACAGCACACTTGTGGCACGGACCTCTGGCTTAGCGACGCTGCTGTCCAGGTCTCCGATGTAGTAGTCCTCGAGCATGGCCCGCGCCTTGTCTGAGTGGAGGGCGTTGAACTCCTCGGAGCTGTCCTGCCCGGCGCTGATGGTGATCGACTCACCCCCACCTGGGTGGTCGTCGAGGAAGTCGGTCACATCGTACACCTGGCCCAGGCACAGCGGAGAGAGATAGTGCGTGTGAGACTGCTGCTGTATCCGAAATCAACAGAAAAGCAATCGAACAGGACACGTTGTCCCACCCCCCCCCAATTTTTTTTTTGAAAATATAAGAAAAATACAATACGAGTTCAAGTTGAGATTTTATACAAGAAAAAAAGAATTCAAGTTCAGGTTGAGATATTACATATTTCGCCACTACAGTAAGACAAAAAAACAGACTGTGAGACAATGCCTCAAACATAATTAGACGACACAGCTGTAACCTACATGAGAAGCTTCTGTTTCGATCTTGATCGCGTCTCACACGGCCACCACAACTATTGAATCGGCGCAGGGCAGCCAGAAAAGGGAGGAACTCGCAAGGCCACCAAGCAAACGAAACGGCAAACCAGAAAAAAGGCGAAAGCAAAGAGCAAAGGACGATGCACCTCACAAAGCTACAACAGGTCCGCGAGAGCCATGACGTATGACGACATACCTTCCCGTCCACGGCGATCCAGCAGTCGTCCTCGTTATCGTGCTTCTGCACGTCCTTGAGGTTGAAAGACTTCCCGTTCGAGGGGGTCTGCGGAAACCCCACACGCGACAACGCAAAGAGAGAACGCCGCCGAAAAGTCAAGACAACACGCGGTATCATGACAACAACACGTTGAAGGCCCGGTCTCCTTTGAACAACACACAAAAAAACACCCTACAAGAGAACTGATATCTATAACCAAGACAAAACCACAGGAAGTAATCCTTTTGTGGGTGCCATGTAGCCAAGTATGATACAAGAAATCGCATGTGTCACTCGAGAAAACGTATATATGCGACTCTCCACCCAGGTTTATTTATGTTCATCAGAAACCGCAGATTGCCAAAAAAGAAAGAGTATTGAGGCATTTGTTTCACCGACACCAAAACCCGCCTCGGCCAACAAAATACTACACAAATAAAGCACCACAAAAACACATAATAAGGCACAAACACATACACATACATGTATGTGCCTTTTCACGGACACCAACCACTCGTTGCACGACCCAGCACAAAAAAACAAGGACGCACACACCTTCGGCGGCGGCGCCTTGGCAACCACGCCCCCCCCCCCGCCGCCTCCCTTGACCATCCAGCCACCCGGCTGAGGGCCGGGCATGGTGGGGTGCTCGAAGGTGAGGGCAAGGGCCCCCCTGTCATCCCGGGTGGGGTGGACCTTGCAGCGGAACCAGCAGTTGTTCATCATGCCCAGAAGGTTCCAGGTGATGTTCTGCGGCTGTGTGTTCTGCCCCTGCCAGGCGCGGCACACGATCTCCTCACACTTCATCAGCCTGAGAAATAACGATTGATGATGCGCATGGACGATATGTGTGTGTGTGTTGTATTGTTGTTGGCATCGACCGCGCTAGCTAACCGATTACCGATGAAAAGACGTCGGTCTCAGTGCGGTTGAAAGCACAAGATGCTTCTAAAGGCCATCATGATCTAGGACCCCGTGAGAGGGCGTCTCGTGTGTGTATGTGTGTGCGATAGCATGTTGTTCAGCACCCCGGTTTCCAGAAACGACGCACGGAAAACATGAGGTGGATTCATTCGTGGTGTCGTTCTAAGGGAAAAAAACACAAAAACACATAACCTTGAAGAAAAAAACGGGACGCAAACAGAGTCATCCACCCATCTTACGGCACGTTCACGGTCCAGCACGACAGCAGTACAAAGACGATAAAACTCGATCATTGGGTTGTTCGTCTGTAAAAACGCAAACCCCTGTAAATTTCTAGGAAAGACCGCCGTGTATGATCGACACTTTACGATGGCTCCGGCAAACATTCATACGTGCCCATACGTGATAAAAAACACCGCAAAAAAAACTATTTAGGCTAGGGCTGCAAGAAACGAAGCGAACCGAAACTGGGAACGAACTACGCCCATGCACGATGTACCCTTGAAATCCCAACCAGCTTAACGAAACCACTGCCATAATAGATTTACAGACGAAAGAGGTGAGACCTAAATGGACAATAACAGCGCACCCCCTTTGTGCGACGACAAGTAATGTGTGTGTGTGTGTGTTTCGCTTGTTTGGTGTTTTTAATTTTCAGTTTTTGGAAAAAAAAAAACATATATATATTCGCAGAACACCACGATTCCCATCTCTAGTCTCCACTCATGATGAGCACACTATAATAGACGCACCTGAGGACGTCGACCTTGAACTCCCAGAAGACCCAGCACCAGTACCGCCCCATGTGACGCGGCTTCTCCGGGGTGGACAACTCCGCCAGCTCCCAAGTCTTGCCGTCATCAAGCGATACCTCCACTCGCGTAAGGGCGATCCCGCCGCCGCCGTACGCGTATCCGGAGACGGTGTAGGTGGTCTCGGGGGAGGTGAGAGAGACCTGCGTGTGGGTAGGGGGTGATGAGGTATCTCATGAGGTATGCATACGATTGGACGTGGTCGCGTTTGTAGTGCGGAGCGGCTTGGTTTCGAACGGTGGCTGGCTGTGTAGCCACCCACGTGTGACACGATTATTAACTGAAGGGAGTTACACAGCACGGCGTTGGAGCCATGAAAAAAAGTTGTAGCGCAAACGGCCGCGACATGTGCTCCAGGGAGGGCCCGTTCTAGCTAACCTTAGTGTCTGGAGACCACGCCCCTCTAGTGGCTATCACACCATTGCGGCAGAGGTCTCTGTGTAGTGCGGTTGAATAGTGTGCCTAGTGCTGTTTTTTTCGGCGGGCACACCTGAATTTCCAAGTCATTTTCAACCACTTTGAACAGTGCCGATATGGTAATAGTGCCGACACATTTTTAGAAAGTAAACATGACCTCACAGAAAGACTACCCGTTCGACATACAACCTCAGTCGAAAGGGATGTGTTGAAAGTCTTTTCAGCAAGTGGATTGAAACCGACTGGAAAACTGGCACATTTTCTGGGAACATGCCAGCACTAGCAGAGACCTCTACTGTGGTCGGGGTGCAGTGGGGGTGCCAAGCGATTTTTGGCGGTCGCTATAGACAGGGCATGCCGCTGAACAGGGGTTCGCTAACCCAGGCCCAACGCTGCTGCTGTAACTTTGGCGGTCGCTATATACAGGACATGCCGCTAAACAGGCATGCCGCTATACAGGGGTTCGCTAACCCAGGCCCAACACTGCTATAACAATCACTCACCACTTCGTCGTGGCGAGGGTATACGATGGCGCTGTTGATGTTGAGCTCGTTGATGATGTAGGGGGGCTTGTACCACCAGCCCTCCGCCACCGCCTTCTCCGCGTCAACCTGTGACGTCATACAAAGTACCGTGGCACGGCATGGACGTTGGTGTTGTCGTCGTTGTCACGCCGTTCCAGCAGTATGTCACCATGCGCGATTAGGTTCAATTCTCACTGCTGTCACAGCTGTCAAGCTGATGCTATTGTCACCCTGCTGGGGTCTATGCTTTCTCTGGACATGAGTTTACAGGTAGTTTTTTTGCCGTTCAGTCGTGCTGTTCATCGTCTTTCGCCTTGCCTAAGCTCAACGGTGTGCTTTTTGACCGTTCGCTGGCAATCCAAGAGGACATCATGAGAGCCGAGGCCCTACACGGACGCCCCAAACAGTTCACCAGCGGGTGCAACGGCGTCGAAAAACACAATCACAACCACCATCTCACCTGCGACGGAAGCACTCGGTTGTCGAAGTAGTGGTAGTGGTTGTCGCTCTCCAGGTCGGTCACCTCGATGTCAGTGAGCCATTTGATCTGACCAATCAAAATCACGAACCGAGATCGCCGCGCAAGGGAGAGAGCGGCGTGCGTGGGCGGGTGTTGGTAAGGGTTGCGGGAGGGGGGGGGGGTACTCTCATGTTTGCATGCCTTAGCGGTTAGGCCACTGACCACGCGTCCTCGAGAGAGCGGAGCGTTGTTCCCACAGGACCAACCATCAGGTGCGGCGGAGAGCACGGGGTGCACGTGGGCTTGACGTGCCCGTGTGTGTGGGGTGAAGTATTTCTGGTGTTTTTTTTTTTGTTGTTCCAGAGAAGTCATCTCCACGCTTTGTGAGTGACATCTGCGGCCACAGCCAACTAAAAACATTTCGGTGGCCGTCATCGAAAACAAAGACTCATGGACTCATCGTGCGGCACCCTTGCTTCATTCAACAAAACACACGCCCACAAGTGGCGGTATGCATAGCCAGGACGTCTCTTGACACACCGCTCGAATGCACCACGCCGCTTAACGCCGGGCGTGCAGCACTAAATGCTACTGCTATCACATACCCACTTCTCCGTCAAGACTTGTGCACAGGCGTAGGCTGGCGGCCAGCAGAGATGGGACGGAACACACATGTCGTACGGTACGGGATACCACGTTATACGCCAACGGAACACGCCGGGTTTCCGTGTCGCTCACCATGCGTCCGCCGATGTACCCCGGCACGATTAGCCGGATGGGGTAGCCGTGGTCAGGGGACAGCTCCTTGCCGTTCATCTTGTACGCCAGAAGCACGTCCGCGGTTTCGTCCATGCACACCTGCGGAACACAGCAGCACATACATCATTTTGGTGTACTGTACCAGTAAGCAACAGCACTCGTTGTAGCTTATCACCACAACACACAACAGGGTGGCAGCGGCCGTTGCTGTCCACGCTCGCCTTATCCTTACGGAAGGTCTTGCTAATATCGTTAACTCAATGTGACGCAGGCAGCACCCCGGGAGCACATGGGATTCGATCATACGTCGTGACCCCGGTTGTTCGTTTCTTGCTGGATTCACGGCAACAAGTACCGGCGTCTTGGTTCACGTGTGGATCACATTTTCCCGCGCCCCATTATTGCAGCACTCGAAACGGAGAAAAAGAAAAAAGTAGCAGCGTCCAAACCGCGCCCCGAAACGACCCTCAACAAGAGGTCGAAACCAAGACTTGTTTTGTTGTTGTTTTCCTCGTCCAAATCCGCGATTTCTTCACAAACGGAACAATTTTTCTTCTCGGAGACAACCTCGAACATCCTTAGAGCAACAGCAGAGCTTGTGAAGGCCATTCTTGCCGACTAAGTAGGGCAGTCGCGCTTCTTTTCTGGGGGAAAAGGGCGGGGCTCTCCATTCTGTTCAGTTTCCCTCGTACACAAACTCCACAAACGCCACAATGTCACGTCTTGTGAGCAGATATACTGCCGAAGTTCTCCAACGGATGCGCGAACACGGCGTTGTTCATCAAGGTAGCACTGAAGGCTCTACAAAAACTACTTTTGTTCAAACACAACAAAGAAGAAGGAAAAAGGGCCTAGTGCTGTGTACAAAATATAAAAGGAGGCCAAGACATGAAAAAACATCTCAAATTAAAAATCTCCAAAGGGAGGAAAGGTACGAGAAACAGCGCAAATTAAATATCTCCAAAGGGAGGAAGGGTACGAGAAACAGCGCTAGCGCGTCTGTCTCCAAAGGAAGTCAACACACCAGAAAACAGCGCAAACCCAAGATTCTCCACAACGAGGGAACAGACACATGTCTCTATGCATACAAGAGGGAAGAGACACATGTCTCTACAAGAGGGAAAAGACACATATGGAGTCTGTAACTTATTTCTCTCACCTCGCGGCGGATGGACGTCCCGTAGTACCCGTTCGGAAGCTTGTCCGCCCCGACGAAGCAGACGTGCTTCCCCCCCTCCTCGAAGGACTTGATGCCCACGTGCTCCAGGATGTCCTTCACCCACACGCCCGTCCACATGGCGTTAGACACCGCCGCGGGGCCCCACGAGAACCTTCCCGCGAAACCGAGGAGGTGGTGTAGTATGGGGAGGCGTTGTAGAGAGGTGAGAACGGAGGCGGTGTGTAGAGGTGAGTTCACGAACACAGACCAAGCGAGGTAAGGGAGTGCACGTTTTTTGTTTGTGGTTTCGAAAAAACTACTTGCGTAAAAGGTAAAAATAAACTGTACGTTTTCGGTGGCGGATTTGACAAGAAAAACACATAAGCCGGAAACACGCCTGAACCCGGAACAGGGAAGGCCAGCAGGATAGAAAGGTACTCCCTGAGAGCGGTGGTAACCAACTCGCGTCTATTTCATGGGCCAAGTGTACGTGTAAATCGCCCCATTTATTCTTGCCCCGAGTCTACAAACCTCTCGGTGAATTCGTGTGACGTATCAGCCGGGATAACACGTGAGTTTATTGTAATACACAGGGTATACTTGAGTTTTTTGTTGCACAAACACAACGAATATTCATCTCGACGCACACAAGCGTGCGGGAGAGATTGGCAATGAAGACATGTACGATGGCATTGCATGATGAACGACGTTTGTTTCTACCCTTCCCCAAGCAGCATACAGCGAGATCTCCCTCGTGGGTAAACAGTATCAGCCAGAAGACAGTTTGTTGGCAATCTTTCGTGTCTGACTACTGAAAACGCTGAGACGAAGGTGCAGCTTGTTTTTCTTTGCTCCATTTCTTTCCTCCGGCGTGCTTGCCTTGCTGCTGTAGATTTTATCGCGACAAGGGTTCAGCCTTCGCATTCCCTCGTTGACCGTGAAGCAAACAAACAATATTTCTCCACTGCGAGTTGCAGGCAAAGAATCCCCCCCAGAGATAAAATCGAACCCACAACCTGTCACGACACTCTTTGGTTTGCGAGGTAAACCACTATATATAGAATAAATAGACCACCGGGGCGAAAAAAGTCCCCCGTAAGTTCGCCGTGATTTCGTTTTTCTCCGTTGTTCTTGCAGAATCAAGACAAACTCGTTTCCATACATAAATATATATCGATTTCCCCCTACTGCTGTCTGTCGAACAACGCTACATATTGGAAGTTGAGCCGCCCTCTTACCCGAGTCCCTGCTTGATCATGTTCTCCTCCTTTCGCCGGTTGCCGGCGCAGACCAGCGTGACGGGGATGGTGATCTCCTGGAAGGTGGCCTTGATGTACTCCAAGGTCATCTCCAGCGGCTTGTCGACGGCTCCACCCACGCGAACCTTCCCGCCAGCAGCATCGGCAACAATTGAAGTTAAAGTTCATTGTAATAGAATCGAAAAATAAGCCCGGTATCCAGCCGGTTGGTTTTCCTCCCACTCCACTGCAAAGACTCTCTATTGATGGACACATCCCCTACTAAATACTGCTGTGGAATCATTAATTCGAACGGGTGTAGTATGCATAGTACTGCTGTTATGCATACCTATGATACTGCTTGCTGTGTATGCATGAAATTCTCGAAAAAAGAAAAACACACAAGCAGCAGGAAAAAATTCACCAAATCCTTCGCGTTGTGACACACGGACACGATGTTCATGCAACTACAGTTACAGCAGTGTATCCACAAGAGGTGTTGAGAAGTCATCGTCATCATCTTTCGGAAATCCTTGGAGACATAGCGGAAGTTGACGGGGGCAACGACCATTTGCGTCATCACCGGTGCCACTGCATGCATTACGTATGTTAGGCATGTACATATTGTTCTTGTACGCAGAAGACGCTCGTGTCAGGTGCTCACATTGGTAGTGTGGAGAGGAGGCACATATGGCGAGTGCGTCTTGGAAGTTCCGGAATTTTCTTTGCAAGATAGACTACAGGCTTACAGGTACGTATTATAGATGTATGTACCGAATCGAAGTTCTTCGCGGCAAGGGCCAACTTACACAACAAATGTTAAGCACGGCCACACGGCCTACCACGATGCGGGAACATAGAGACTACACCCACAGCAGTGTAGTGTTTCGAGACAGAACCGACGCGTTTTGAGAGGAGCACATCCCGGGGTCAGCGCTACAAAAAGAGTTGCATCTAGAAGAGCCACGCATACGCCGAGTGATGAGCAACCCTTTCCCTTCACTGACCCCGCTAACGTCAATCATGGTTTCTGCCATTCCGACAGGCGTGATGTTCCAAATGGAAAAACGGTGCCGGAAACATGTCATCATTTCCATCGTACTTCTCGTCTCGACAGCAGCTGCCCATTATGCAGCGCATGTTGCACATATACATAAACGGGCACCGAACACATACACAATACGTTTGCTTGGTTGTGTCACCTTATGCGAGGCACCATCGGTGATGCGTGGCACGGCCCCATGGTTTCGCACGTAGTGTAGCTCGTTTGGCGAGATGAAGCCATGGTCCTTAATTCGCCACACCGGCGGCTCGACGTTGAAAGGGTGCCGCCCGGTAAGCCGCACCAGCTCCGGGTGGCGAGGCACCCAGTCATCCGGGGTACCCTGTGCGATGATGCGCGCACCAAATTGCAGCAGCAGTTGAGCAACAGCTGTTCAGTACAAGTGGCGGATTTATTGCCCGACAAGACACAGGATGAGTGAGCGACTATTCTAAAGACTGACAAGAGGGATACTCGTCAAGGACCGCGGTGCTTAGAAGAACTGGGGTGTAAATGACGTCGGTTCAGAGCCGGATGTTCTTCGACGTGTTGGACGTGACAGCGCCGAAGTACTCCGTCATGAGAGAGATCCAACGTGTACATAAGACTAGATACAACACGAAGTGCGCGTACAGCGAAGAATGTGTCATGTGCTACAATTCAAAGGGGCAACCATACATCCAACGCAACTGCGGAGACAGAGACAGCAGACGCACCTTATCCCTCGCGTCAATCTCTGTCACAACTTCTGAAGGAGGAACGAACGTGTCCTTGTAGTAGTCATGCCCCTTGATGCTGGCCAGCGACGCGTTGGGCTTTTCTGGCTTGCTGGATTGGATCCCAGGTCCGGCTGGCGGCATTGTTGGTGACTGCTGCTGCTGCTCTGCTCGAACGTGCGAATCTCTGCTGCTAAACCTATCGACAGCGTTGTTATCTCCGTCCCTCTCGCTCTGCTGATTAAGGTAGCCTTTGACGCAGTGGCCACGTCTCCAGGGGGTTGCGTGAGGTGATCTACGCGCTGCGGGTGGATCAAGTTCTGCTCTCAGTCAAGCGGCAGTTCCAGTCTCGGAAGGGAAGGCGAACCTCACCGAAAGTGCTAGGAGGAGGTCATGTTGATTACGTCATCGGAATTACGCCTTGGGGTGTCTCCGTAGATCCGGTCGAATCAAATCTCGCCGCACCGGAGCTGCACGTTGATTGGCTTGTTTGAATCTCGTCACAGTCTTCACTCGTCAATGCGACGAAGTGACGACCGCAGCTCACAGCCCACCAGTGCAGCCCATGCCCCCACCCGCTGACACGCACGGCAGTCGAGAGATTCTCTGCATATCCTACCTACCCCATGCACGCACACGCCCATACGTTGACTGGGAGGTGCGCTGTAGACCCCGGCGAATCGCTACTTGTGATGAACAACGAAAGAACGTGTTGAAGATCATCAACACGCCGACGCAGAGTTCCTTCGTCAGTACAGGGCCAGCGAGCCGGCGACTATGTAGTCTGAGACGTACACCTTCCTTCGATGCGTTCCAGCATCTAAGACTGCACAAGAGGACAATGGCACTGCATGCATGCCGCACACATACATGATGGACGTATCAGGAAAGGACGCCAACACTGGAGGAGGAGTGCAACCCAGGGATTTTTGTTCTGGCCGCGGGGGGGGATGGGCACTATAGCCACAGCAAGCAGTACAGACTACATGCGACTCGGGATACCTTTATCGACTTGATTGTGTATCATCACCCAAGAAAAAATACGGCCAGGGGATTGCTCTGCGCTATTCTACGACATGATACGCTGAGCCTTCAAGCCGGAACCAATTCTCACATAGACTACTTACAGTACAGTAGTACAATAGAAACCCAAAGAAGAAGCTGAGAGGGTTCGATTTTTCACGAGAAAAAATATCTTGAAGCAACAGCACACCAACAGGCTTTGAATCTGTACGAGGCCGAGACCAAAGGAGTTGAGTTCGTTGCTAAGAGCGTCGGAGGAGGTTTGTTCTGGAGTGTGGCACGCTATTATTATTGTAGGCTTTTCCGGCGCGGTGTGCAGGAAGTTAGATGTGTGTTTTTTGTTTTGTTTTGGATGCTTTCGTATTTTTTGTTTTCCTGGTTTAGGCATGACATGAGAACTATCTTGCACAGAGCCTTGCCCGAAAACCGCATCTTCTTGGTTTCTCCACTGATCAAAGAAAGGGCGAAAGTAAACAAAATACAGCAGTATAATGAGACTTTCCTAAGTGCTAGCGTGTTCTGTACTCCAAGAGGACGTACGTGACATGGTGTGAGAAATCGCTCTACATTCATTCACGGCCGCATGATATGCCGTGCACACAACAAACAGATGAGGCATGGGGTGAAATTAAGAACAGACAGGAGGATGTTGCACGACACGACGACGATTGTGTTGAGCCGCGGTGGAATCATGGCTGCTCGCAGACCATGGTACATATGTTTTGGCATAACATTGCTGTAGCGTTCACTTGGAAGGGGTGCGCTAGGCACACCGTGAAAGGGATAATATCCCAAGACACAAGCATCCGTTGTCCTCTATCCTGTCTGTTGCAGCGCTGCTAAATATATGAACCGCCTGCTTGAGCGGCCGGCGAGCGACGTGACACACCTACACAGACCAGACAAACAATGACTTTTCGTTTGACAAGTGTTTTCGCTACTGCATGCACTGCTAAAAAAACACAACGCGACCTTAATCTTCGCTCCTCTTGCCGAGTGAAACCCAAAGCCCATCTGGGTCGACTCTTGGCTCGAAAACATCCCCGGCGCACAAGATTCTGGTGCACTACCGCCGTAGTGTCCTCTGGGCCACACCTACCTTCTGCAGGAACCCATCCCATGACACAAACCCATTACACAAACGTACCACATACTACGTCATATCCAGTTCCCACAACAACGCTTCTGCTAGGCCTGAACAAGTCTATATTTTACTTAATATCAAAGACGCTGGTGCCTTCTCTACCGCATAACCCTCAATCCCAACACCGAACCACAGCAGTGCTTGGCAAGAAATCGTGCCAAGTATGAAGCAGGCCATTTCAGCGTTTATTAGCCTACACTACAAGAAAGCGTCAAGACACTCAACATGGACGCGACAACACAAAACATCCAACAACGAGCCCGCGCCGCTAGGCGGACAACAAACGACTGCTGCTTTCATATATTAGTCTGTCCAGACGGGAAAGAACGCGGCCTCCTACTCTTTTCGTTTGTCGCTGACAAACCATTCCGACTAAAACCTGGTACTGACCGGCAAGAGGCCAGCCCGCCCCCGTGGCATGGTCACGAGTAACCTCAAGAGGTATGTTAACATCAAGATGTGACCGTCCGCGGGAGCCCAACTACTCGCGCAAAGTATAGGTTCATATGCATTACATCGAGGTTCGAGTCGCGAAAATACAGGTGTTTATGCATCACAGCAAGTGAGTACAGATTCCAGACAAGAGAAAACCAGGTTAGGGCAAAAGCCCCCGAGTAGAAGGAAAACCCTGCCGCAGCTCGCCCAAAAAGTAAAAATACTCATACACATACACATTTCCGGAGGACACAAACCAAACTAAGCTTCAAGGAGGCGTACTCTTGGGCCACTTACGAAGAAAGGGGAAGAGCGTTCATCTCCGGGATACAATTTTATTCCCGCCAGCGTGAGAAAATAGCCCTGTACACATAAAACACAAATCCTTTTTGCTCATTGACGACGCTATTACTGTACCAAGGTATAAAAAATGACTCCCGTCGAAGAGGGCATCGGGACGAAACGCGGACGGTCGCCGTGCGTGCCGCATCGCGCGCCAACGTGATGAAGTGCCATCAGCACAACCACGAGCGCAAAGGAGGCCGGAGCCGCATCACCTGACAAGGATTGAAATCATTTCCCGGCGTCCTTCTCCCACTCCTAGTGCTAACTAAACGTGGGCACACGGACAACTGAGTCCGCATCACAAGCTGTATCAAGACTACCGTCATCTATTTATTCTGAAGGGAACAAAATGAATAGAAATCCATCGGCAACGATGCAACAAGCCCGTGATCTCCATTCGTCATCATCAGACCTGCGGGGTTGCCTAGACTGGTGACCCCCCACCCCCCCCCCTCCCTCTGCGCATGCCCAGCCAGCCCGGTGATCTCCTTTCCTCATCAGGAAACATTCGGGGTAAAATTGGCGAACCCCCCTACCCATGCATGTGGCCCCAGCCAGCCAGGACCGACACCCCCCCACATGTTACAAAAGCGCCGAAAACACTTTCAGACCGCAGCGGCTAAGGCGGCGGCGAGCATCGCTACACCAGCGAGCACGAAGCCGCTGCCGGCGCCGGCGCCGCGGCCGTACATGGTCACCGCCGCCCCCGTCGCGTCATCGTCGGCAGCGCTCGAATCGTCCCCCACCGCCGCCGCCACCACGGCGGAGTTTCCTTCGATAGGCGGGCTGATGGCTCCCGTCACGACCAGCGAGAAGCTGACCGTATCTCCCACGGTGAAGTCTCGCCCGCGCACCCTCACCTCCCACTCGTCCGTGGCGGAGAACTGGGCCACGACCTCCGCGGGGACGATGACGCGCTCGTTGACGTTGCTCGTGTCCCAGCAGTTGTCGTCCCACATGCAGTACCTCGTCCCGTCGGGCGCGTACACTGCGTTGAGGAGGAGGAGAGAACACCGGGGTTAGAGGGGGGACACTTTGAAAGCATGGGGTTGTTGGTTTCCGCGAAATCGGGTATCACCAAAAACACTATTTGACGCTCCGTTGTTTGTTGGCCTTTCGACCCGGAAACGACGGCGTCGCCAACATCAGAGCAAGCCGAACGGCATACCCCCTCAACAACAAGGACGGCACTTAGGGAGGGCACCGACCGCACGGCAAAAAAAAAAAAGCACTTCTTCGGCGGCGACGGCAACGGCAACGGCAGCACACAACTTCTTCCGACCCCTGTGATAGCCACCGGTCAGTTAGTTACCTCGAAGGTCAAGGTCGTTGACCAGCTGGTCGCCGGACAGGGACGACGCCGCGGGGTCGTTCCAAGAGAGCGTGGCCCTGAGCTCCATCCCAGCGTCGGGATCGACGTTGAAGTAGAACTTGAGTTTTTCATCCGAGTACACCTCGTGGTCCGAGGAGTCCGCGACGAAGAGGGCCATGTCGCCGGCCCCGCCGAGAGGCATCCCGGCCTCGAGGTGGATCCTCCCGAAGCCGCGCTCGGTGTCGGGCTCGTTGCCCCCTCCCATGACGTTCGCGCTGTTGATCAGCATCGCCTGTGTTTGATAATATAATAGGAGTCCGATGGAGTGGAAACGAAAAAAAGCACACAGGTTGGAAAAAAATGGCCGTTGTAGGGCAGGAGCGACAAAACAAGTTGTACCGAGTCCAGTCGTGCGCCGGCAATAAGACTGTCTGCAGGTTTGTGAAATTTTCTTTTTTGGTTCATTGAGGTTTGCTGGGCTCTTCGGGTCAAAAACACGTGAGCTGTTGTGAGCAGAGCTGTTCGAGCTTGGGAAACGTCTCCGATGGCAGCCGGGAGCTGATTCACACCAACACATGCTTTACTTTCATCTCGCATCACGTCTTGATGACACTGCTGTAGTACTGCTATGGTCTGATGAGCCCGCTCCCGGAGGCGCGCCTTGCACACGGTATATATATACGGCCGAAACCTTTTTGTCGCACTCCACTCTTGCAGTGTCTTAGCGCCGTGGGGCAGAAGAAAAGGAGTAATTTATGTGCAATGATTGAGCGTCAGCGAATGCATGGCCAAAGACAACAAAAGGGCAGTTTTTGTACCCAGCGGGTACTACCGAAAGCATCAAAAACACTGGCTGGTCTCGTTCTTACAGACACATATTTCACGTCTACTGCTGTATTGATACCTTCACTGTCGTTGCCATGGGTGAGAAGCTATCGCACGTGAATCCCTGGTCGCAGAACCCCCTGCTCTCGACATCGGCACTGTAGAAGCTTGAGTCCCTGAAGTACTGCCGGACCTGCACGGATTGAGATTGATAAGCGCGACAAGTGCTTGTAATGTTACGCAAGATATGTATAGGGATTGGAGAGAGTCCGGAGAGGCTTGGGGTGATGCGTACGGCGTTGGTGTGGCGACATCGGGCCTCGAGAGACACTACGCCACGCGGTGCGGCCACTATCCTCGCAAAACACGCGTGGTCCCGAAGCGCTGGAGCGGTGGCATGAGCAGAGGAAGTATCTCCCTCTACGTGGCACCTACTACTCTGCCAGTGCTTCGGTTCAGTTGAGCGTTCCGCTGTGACATACATACATTGGCACACACGATGGACGAGGGAAGCGGTTGTTCGTAGTCAAGCCGGTTGCTACATGCCCAAACCCTCACTCTCATCTCTGCGGCGACGAAGAGGACATGTTTCTCGTCTTGCATTTCGCCGGACACCCCTTGCCCAGAAAGTTCGAAAAAAACATATACATCCACACACACGTTAGTTACGTTCCTTGTGCCACACAAAGAACTCCCTCCTGTGAGAGGCAGTAGGAGATGTACAAGGACGCATACCCTGGAAGGTCGGTGAGTAAATAAAAAAAAATAAACGAAACTCACCATTGCCGCCGCCCCCGAAGCCACCGCCGTCGAAAACGAAGTACCGGCATACGCGATTAGCTCGCACGATGAGTCGCCACCGTTCCCGCTGGCAGAGTAGATCTGCACGCATGTACCATTTCCAACAGCGGGACAAGAACCGCGCGTTCGCGGGATGGATCGCGGGGTGAAATTTCCGTTCCAGGCACCGCGCCGACAACAGGCGGGGGGTTCGGAAGACAGAATCGAGAGTGCTTGTTGCGTCGAAACAACATGAGAAGTGAGGCCCCACTGCTGGGACTTAGGGGGTAGGGCCAGGCGTAATAAACCCAGGCCGGATAAATCAACGTTCCCCGAGGCATGGGGAGATATTGTATTAACACCAAACATTCCAACAATGTGCATCGGGAAACACCTTTCAGCACAGGATAAAAAAAGCACAATCACCTAAATCTTGTCTATTGGGACATGCACACCTTCCAGCACAACAACAAAATAACACCATTCTCTTATATTGGGACATACATGCCTTTCAGCCAACATCTATTTTGTTGGGACTACATACCTTCAGCACAAATACAGATGTACTGATCTGGTCCGCGACCGCGAGTTAGCAAAAATCATCGCCCCGCATTTTACATGTGCTGCTTACCATGTCTCCGGGAGCCACGACCTCGGGCTTGATTCGTCCGTCTTCAGTGAAACCGTAGCCCGAGAACTCGGATACGACGTCGATCGTGCTCAGCTCGTCACCGTCCGCGTACCCCCTCCCGTCTAGGTCGGTGGTGCTCAGCCGCGTCACCCCCGAAGAAGTTGAGCCGACCGTGAGAACGTTCTGCCGCGGCGAAGAGGGGGGGGGGGGGGGGGGGGGACCCTTGGGTTTTGGAGGGCTTAACTGTTAAAACATTTACCCCCCCCCCCCCAAAGGGGGGGGCTTTTTTCCCCCAGGACCCAACCCCGGAGGGCAATCTTTCCTTTCTAATTTTTCAAGGGGGGGGGGGGGGGGGACCCTTTTTTGGGCTGCCTTTTTTAACCGGGGGGGAAAAAAAAAAAAAGGGGTTAGGTCGTTTGGGGGATCAGGGAAAAACCCGCCCAAAGGGGCCGGGGGGGACCCGGGGGGGGGGGGGGGGGGGAGGGGCCCCCGGGGGCCAAAATGCCTAGGGTGGGCCTTTT